CCTATGGCACAAAGGGTGGTATTTTAACTTGTCCACACTGGGTTCTTAGCCTTGCTTTTGGCTCTAACCTCACTTCACAGGACTCCCTCCCACCTCCAGCCTCTCTGTCACTGGCCGACCCATTCCCTTGCATCTCCCAAATAGCCTTCTTCTCACTCAGGAGCTGGACCCTTTCATCAGCAAAGGGGCTGTGTTGTGTACTCATTGCTCTTCTGTATCTTATTTTAGCCATGTCCCATATAAGCCCTGCCTGTTTCCCACTAAGTAGCAGGTTTAAGCTGCAAGGTGGCATGGAAAGTGCATTCAATTGATTGATGATCTTCCATAAATGCTCGCATTGGGCACTGGAGCAGGCTGATGCTTTAGGCCACTAATACACATACCTGGTGCCACCCCTTTCTCTCTTTGTATCTGTACTGTCTCAAAACCAATAATGCCCTGGACTTGCATGATGCTTTGAGGAACCTCAGCAATCCATGTGGCTGTTCTGTGTCTGCCCATGGTTTCCAGAGCTCCTGGTAGAAGTGAGGCTAAATTATGTTGTATATGAAGCCAGCATGTCAGTGCTGTCCTGCCACTGAAGCATGTCACAGGGAAAGGAAAATGTCCAATGGCCGAATGCAAACCTGGGTCCCTTTGCATTTTATTCCTCCCAGGCATCAGGCAGAAAGGAGGCCCTTGCCCTTTGAGCCACTTCTGTCCAGAAGGGACCAGCTTTCCATTTCCCTGCCTGGCAGGAACATACAACAACCTCACCCAACAAGCTGCATGTTTCCCTTGTGCTGCTGGTTACTACTGCCCTGAAAACACCACCAGCTACAGCGTATACCCCTGCCCACCTGGCTTCTACTGCCCCACAGGTGAGAACTGAGCCTTTGGCTTGAAACATTAGGGAACAGTCACGAGGTGCCATTGGCCAGGCAGAATATCCTTGTTCAAAAGGCAATGCTATGGCCTCTGGGAAATGAGCCGGCAGGTTTCAGTCCAGTCTCTGTGGGCAAAGGTCCAGGTCGTGCAGACTGCAAACACCTGGACCTCCCTCAACAGAGGTCCCAGGCACTCACTGGCCCATTGTGGGGTAGGATCAAGAGATACTGGGGCGGCAACATTTTAAATGATTCTTGCAGCAGCAGCTTAATGCAGGAAGTGTGCTCGAGTTGTGCAGCGCCCAGAAGGAGTTTTCTCTTCCTTTGTCTCTGTTTGCTTCTAAGGTACCAAGTTTGCCACCGAGTTCCCCTGCCCTCGGGGTTACTACAACCCTGACCCCATGACCCAGAGCTTGGATAGCTGCTTGCCCTGCCCTCCCGGGCACTACTGCAGGAAGGAGAACTTAACGGCTGTATCGGGGAAGTGTGATGCGGGTGAGTCTGGGCCACTTTGCCTCTATGTTGCCCCTGCTGTGCCCTCTGTGTGTGGGCAGAGGGAACAAGCATGTAGGGACTTGGCACTCACCCTCCCTTGGAAGTTGTCCGGCCATAGGCACATAGGCTCTGACAGCTTGTTCTCGGTGACACAGGGGTGTCTTCCTTACCCTGCATGGTTGGGATAGATATAAGTGAACTTTTGGGTATCACACCACCTTTCTCAGGCCTTATCTTGGACATATGTGAGAATTCAGGCCTTAGACTGTACCTCAGGGTACCAGGCGTGGAGAAGGCTTTCCTCTTAGGAAGGTCTTAAGGAAGTTTGCCCCATTTTTGTCAGTGTTTGGAAAGGGAGGAAACCATCCTTTCCAGCTACCCTAACACTTGCTCTTTGGGCTCTGGGGCTGGGTTTTCTATCATGCTCCTTGTGCTTTCAGGTTGGTTTTGTGTATCGGCCGCCTGGACCTCCCAGCCCTTCGACGTGGATAACTACACCAACTCCAACTGCCTCTGCCCAGCCACTGCCACTGGAGGGAAGTGCATGGCTGGTTTCTACTGCCCAGAGGGCAGCCCCGAACCCATTCCCTGCCCTCCTGGGTTGTACTGCAGTGCCTCAGGTTAGGACGCACCCCTCTGCGAGGGGCCGAGCTGGCACCGGGAGAGTCTGAAGATGAAAATTTTGGTGCAAATGTTAATTTTTGTTCTGCTGTTTCTGCACCCAAGTGAGCTCACCTAAACTTAAGCTGGAAGGCCAGGGGATGGAGGGTCTGTGCATGACTCACAAGGATCTTGACAAAGCCTCTAAGGTGGTTACTCAAGTGTGCAGCCTCAGAGGTCTCATTTTGGACACCCCCTGAAAGCTGATCCCTCCCATCCACAGCTCTGGGGTCTGACCGATGGGGTCTCCCTTCAGACTCCTTTATTCTCTGCTTCTGCTCAGGCTGGAAGAACAATAATAACAGCCTCTCTTTGCATTTCCCCTGCTGCTTTTTTTGTCCTCCCAGTGCTATTTTGGCAGGTTTGACATGAGCTGCTTTCAGCCTAATGCTTACTCACGAGCATAAATGTGCTCACAAGGTGGTGAGCCCTGGGGGCTGGCCTGGGCTCATGTGTGTGACAAGGGGCTCAGCTGCTCTCTTGTGATTCAAGCCCCATGGAAAGCTGTGAGGCCACTGTTTTGCAGGCTGCTGAGCCCTGTCTGCTCGCCCTGCTTCTGTATTGCTGCCACAGTGCCTTGAGCACCTTTGTGTCCGCTCTGTCTCCCAGGTCTGTCTGTCCCCAGTGGAGAATGTGCTGCTGGGTTTTATTGCACAGGAGGAGCAGCCTCTCCTAAACCAACTGATGGCGTCACCGGGAATATCTGCCCCCCAGGGACCTACTGCAGTAAGTATCAGGCTTGAGACAGGAACAGGAATTCCCTGGCACTGACTGCCTGAAATGTCAAAAGGGGAGGGTCACTCACTGGTTAGGATGAAGGACTGGAAGTCAGGAGACTTGGCTGCTATCCTTGGCTCAGCTTCCAGTTGTTGTGACCTTGCACAGGCCATTTCACTGCTCAGTGACTCAGTTGTCTCATCTGTAGAATGGGGCTGGCACTTTGTTGTAAAGCACTCTGGGTCTGAGAGTGAGAAGTCCTGCAGAAGAGCCTGACTTGGTTATTTCCTTGTCAATCTGTGCTTGTGTAGCTCTGGTTTTCCTATGTGCCACTGCCTTTCTGTTGTCCCAGGGTCAGTGTCTCAGGTTTTTCCTTTCTCTTACCAGTTCCTGGCTCAGCGATGCCAATGCTTTGCCCAGCTGGCACTTTTTGCGGCCTCCAGGGGCAGAGTATGGTGTCTGAGTGCCAGCCTTGCCTCTCTGGATTCTACTGTGCGGTGTCTGGACTCAGTGCTCCCAGCGGACAGTGCTGGGAAGGTAAGGCCTGTGGGAGCAAACTGCAGCTGTGGGTATAGGGCTGAATGACTCGAGTGCCAGAGGGAAGAGCAAGAGGCTTAGGATGAAGGTGAGGACGCGTGCATATGTTTGTGCGTGCGTGTCCATGAGGACATAGGAAATGCAGGGCTGTGACTCACTGATCTCATGGCGATAAAGGCAGTTAATAATGGTGGGCCATTCTGAGAGCTCCTTCCCTCTAAATGAACAGGCAGAAACTAAAGTTGCTTTCTAGCGTTCTGTGTCCAGCTGTCTTTCCCCCGCCCTGTTATGATGCATCTTTCCCTTCCCCTTACCTAGTCATGGGAGGATGCGGTCCTGTGAACTGTCACCACCTGCTTCGTACGCTTGTTCTACCTATCCTGTTATCTGGAGTAGCCTCTGTTCTGGTCCTGACTGGGAGCAGCGCTGAGACACTTAGCACTTCTGTGGTCCTTTAAGATGTGCTAACGTTAACAGAAGACTTCTGAAGCTTAAAAAAGAAAGCTGCTGCATGCTGTTAGCATCCCTCTGGGAAATGCAGCAATGGGTGGCATGGCACAGTGACAGGCGGGGAGGGCATAATGTATTCTCAGCTTCTGATGGGACTTTGCTGCTGGAAGCAGGGAGGATTAGCTGGCTCTCGCCCAGAGTGCTCTCTTGGCCATCAGAGACTCATGGTCTGGAGATCAAGTGGCAGTGACATCCCTTTATGTGCGTGCATTAATTGGAAAACTATTAGTCTGCCTGTCCCAGCAGGGGCACAATTGAGACCAATCATTATTAAAGGTCAGAGATAGATCTGTTCCTTGAGTCATCTCTTGTAAGCCTTGAAGGCCTGTGAGAGCCTGCTGGGATTCTCATCTCTTAATGAGCTGCTGCTTTGCAGCAAGTATCTCCCAGTGGCTGGTTTGGCTTTTCTTCCTCTGCTTACCCCTCAGGCTATTACTGTGACAGCAGCCAAGGGCCCATCAGCAACGTCACCCTTTACCCATGTCCACAAGGCTTCTACTGCCCACCAGGCACACAGAAGGCCACTCAGCATAGCTGCCCGCCAGGTACCTTTGGACCGAGGCAGAGACTGAAGAGTATGGACGAATGTCAAGGATGCCCACCAGGAAAATACTGCGCGTTACCTGGACTTGCAGCCCCAACAGGTGTGTTGTCACTTGCCCCGGGCAGTGCAGTTCTTTATTTTTAATGACGCATCTTGCTGGCTGATGAACAGAGCAAAGGACTGTGTGTCAGGACTCCTGGGCTTCGTTCTGAGCTCTGGCACTGACTTGCTTGGTGACTTTGACTGCGTGTCTTCCCTGCTCAGTGCCTCAGATTTGCCATGTGAAAATTGTGGGTCACATCCACTTTTGTAAAGTGCTCCCAGGTTCTTGGGTGCAACAAAGAAATGACTTGTCTGCTCCTTTCCTCATTCAAGAGGAAAGCAAGGGTCCTTTCAATAAGCACTGGCTGGAGGAGCTAGATACAAGACATAGGAATGTGAACTTCCTTGGCTGGTTGCTACCCAATTTCACAACTGTTTGGTGATCTGGTTGAAATTAGTTCATCATTGCAGTCCAGTTGCAAATAAACTGGTGTGTGCATAGTAAGACGGGCCTTTTCATTCTTACTTTCAACAGAGAAAGGAAGAATGAAAGACAATCCCAAAACTGCTCAGTTTGCCTATTGAGGGCAACCTCAGGAAGTCAGGACTGCTCCAGGTTGTCCTGAATCTGTATGAAGGCTGCAGTTCAGCAAAGCACATGGTTAAATCCATATCTGTTTAGCATTTAAGCATGTGCTAGGTTGCATCAAGTGAGTACCTAAGATGGCATGTGCTGAAATACCCGGCTGAGTTGTAGCCAAACCAGGGGCACCCCGTCCAACCCCTGCCAGTAGTACTCTATTCCCCAGCATTTGAAGTGACTCCACTGTGTGAAACACTCATAGCAAAGTTAGACAGTCAGTTTGTGCAGTGACTACATCTGTGCCTCGCAATATGGCCTGTGGGTCTGTATCTGGGGGCTTATATTGAAATCCCTGTTATTTTCATTAGGTTTTATGTTGAACTGTTCATATGCATCCTGTCTTCCAGGGGACTGTTCTGAAGGATTCTGGTGCAAAGGTGGTGCCCAAGTCAAAGACCCAGTCGATGGAGAGTCAGGGCTCCCCTGTCCTCCGGGGCGTTACTGTCTAGCAGGTACAGTGACCTAAACACAGTTCTTCAAACTTCCCGTGAAGCATGAGACGGGGTTCACTCACTTTATTGCCAGCAGTGAAAGTCTGGAATCACAGCTCTCCCAGTGCTCCTTACACCCCACCCCCCCAGCTCTGCCTTTGGCTGGGAACATCTGTTCCTCTATAACCCGTGCTTCTCTGCTGTCCCGTAGGGTCTCTCTGCAGATTTCAGCTGGGGAGGCTGTTTGATGATCACTCTCTTTCCAAGTCAGGCTTAGTTAGTCAATCCAGTGTTCATGACCAGTTCACTGCACCCCAGTACAGTACTGGGTGGTCTGCTTCCTCCTCATGTCAGTACTCAGTGGACACTGAAGCATTTTTTTTTTTGCCAGGAACACCCATTCCACTTCTTTGCCCTCATGGTACTTGGTCCAGCAGCAAAGGCAACAAGAATCTGCAGGACTGCCAGCCATGTTCTGGGGGTCATTACTGCAATGGCACTGGGCTAGTAGCCCCATCAGGATACTGCAGCCCTGGGTAAGTACAGCAGGGAGCACATTTCTCTTCTGCATTCACAGTGGGAGTCAGCGATACTTTTCTCCTGGAATAAGACCCAAGGTTGGGATGCAGGAGGAGGGTGATCTGAATCACTGCCTGGCTGGCACTTCTGGGGGATAAAATCAGTGAACTGAACTGCAAAGTCAATAAAAATGGTTCCTTTAGTGTTTTGATTTCAGGCATTCACAATATTTTTTTTGAAATAAAATTGAAATGAATTTTTTTTGGGGGGGAGGGGGGAGTTTGCTTAGAATTAAAAACCCCAAATGCAACACCTTGGAAATGCTGAAGTCAAACTGCTTTGTTTGCATTTTTTTTAATGCTCAAAAATCCAGTGACACTGAGACAAAGTCATGAAATATGTCAGTGATGCTAAATACAATAAATACGAAAAGAGTTGTTATAAAGAGGAAGGCGATCAATTGTTCTTTGTGTCCACAGGGGACAGGGCAAGAAGTAATGCCTTAAATTGCAAGAAAAGAGATTTGGGTTAGAGAGGAGGAGGATTTTTTAAACATGAGAGTGGTTAAGTGCTGGAACAGATTGCCTAGAGAGCTTATAGACTCTCTGTCCTTGGAAGCTTTCAAGTATAAGTTAGACAAGCTATTGTCTGGGATGGTTTAAGCCAGGCTTGTCCTGTTTTGAGCAGGCAGTTGGATTAGATGTGACATCCTGAGGTCCCTCCCAACCCTATTTTACCTATTCTTAACCTGTCTTTTTTGGCCAAAGAAAGTTCCACTGGAAAACATTTGCTCCACTCGTGGTGGGACCCCCTGCACTTTAGTGGGAGCTAAGATGTGAATAGCCCACAGTTCCTCTCCTGGAGGGGACCTTGCTCTCTTGGGCCCAGAATAAGAGGAGATTTATTTCAGTGGTTAATATGTCTCAGTTTCTAATATTTTTGCTGCTGCAACTCCAGGTTTTATTGCATCTCTGGGGCTCAAACCCCAACACCCACCGATGCCTTCTCGGGAGCCCCGTGCCCTGTGGGACACTACTGTCCCCTAGGAACCGAGAGTCCCATCCCATGCCCGCCTGGTTCCTACATGCCCCAGACCCATGGCAAAGAGTGCTACGAGTGTCCAGAGGGGAAGTACTGTGTCCCTGGTCAGGAGCCTCAGTCATGCCCCAAAGGTGAGTTGTGTTTCCACTGCATGTCCGGTTTGTCCCAATCTTTCTAAAGAATCCACTTAAGCTCCTGGTTTTCGGGGAGGCTTTTGGGTCGCAGAAATTCAACTGGGGTGTATTCCTGCTTCTGTTCATGCAGGGTCCAAAGAGTTTAGCCCAAATGTCCCTGGTGAGTCTGTCAAACTCCTATTGCTGCCACATCGAACCCTGATGCTTCCCATTGCTGAGACACTGTTTACTGATAATTTCCAGAGCTTCCCCTTCTAACCTATACACCCATCTGTGCTTGCCTTTCAGGCTACTACTGCCCGAGAGGAACAGGTCTAGACTGGTGGCCTTGTCCCCGAGGGACTTACAGCCCTGAGCAAGGCCTGGAGAGCAGCGCTGGCTGCAGACTGTGCGATGGAGGGAAGTTCTGCTCTCACCGTAACGCGACAAACGTGGCTGGAGAGTGCTGGGAGGGTTTCTACTGCACCAAGGGGTCAGACCGGCCCAACCCACATACCAGGTTCCAAGGTGCTGCCTTTTCCTTAAGCAATGTGGGGTGGGTCCTGTACATGTTTGGTTAGCTGTTCAGTGGTGACGCCCACGTCTGAGTTGAGCCCTGACCAAATTTCTTTATGGCTCCTGACCCTGATTTTTTTAGAATTCCTCTTTTGCCCTAAGTCCAAAGTCCCTTTCCTTCCTTGAAGCCAAGCAATGTGAACTACAGGTAAGAAACTCAGCATCTCACCCAGGTTCTTATCCAGCAGCAGAGAGGAAGAGACAGGAGGTCAAGGCTTCTGGATTTACTGCCCTGGCTCTGGGTTCAAGTCTTGCCTCTCAGTCCCAATGATTAGACTTATATTCCTAGGTGTCTAGAAGTGGAACTCATGTCTCCTGCATCATAGTGCCACGTGATCATCATTAGCTCTATTGTCCTCCCTCCCCGAGCTGGAGACAAAGGGTTTGGATTCTCAGCCTTGCCTTCTTTTCCAGCCAGTAGGCCACAATGGTGCCCCTTGCATGGTCTCTCGAGTTCAAACTTTTGTCTTAGATGAGAATTGTGAGCAGTCTCTGGAGGACTTGCTGCTGTCTTGGCCAGAGTGTGACTATTTTAAGAGCCACAAGAGCAATTTGTATTAATTTCCAGATCGCTTTTTGATGAACTGAACACCTATCTCACCTGTTGTTTGCAGGTCAGGCTGGCCCCTGCCCTCCAGGCCACTACTGTCCTAGGGGCACTGCTGTCCCTGAGCCGTGTCCTGTGGGAACCTTCAGCACAAGGATTAAGCTGAGCTCAGAGGTAGGAGAATATGGAGGGTCAAACTAGTAAAGTGGTGGTTGTGTGCTATGAAGCATCATTCTCCGTGGCGAGCAACTGGCCCTGAGCAGGGAGGCAAAGACCCAGTTTTAACGCTTCCTTGGAAAAGCCCTGAAAAAATACTAGTACTTCTCATGTATGAAGCCTTTGGCATTGGGGACTCCCAAAGCACCTCACTAAGCTTCTCTGCATCCCTTGGAGAGGGGCTATAACTTGCCAAAAGTCTCATGGTTAGTTGGTGGCTGAGCCGTGATTCACCTCTGTCCAGAGTGACCTCTGGAAGTTGTCTCATTGATTTCCTACAGGCGCATTGCTCACCGTGTCTTCCTGGACATTACTGCAACTCCACCGGGCTCCTGGTCCCTACAGGGCAATGTGCCGAGGGATTCTACTGCACCCTGGGGTCCACCCTTCCCGCCGTGCCAGCCATGGACAAGACTGGAGGCCCCTGTCCCACAGGTAGATTATTAACTGCTCTGATTAAAGTAATCGGGGATCTTTGGCCAATCTTGTTGAGTAAGACTCATCTGAACAAATTGCATGTTTGTTCAAGCACTGTGCTATCGGGCCCAGAGGAGAGCGTCCTGCAGGCATCAGGGAGCCCTGAGCCACTGCAGCACTTTGAGTTTCTTTAAAACTTTGGGGGGGTTCTGCATTGCCTGTTCCAAGATATGGAGTCTTGAATAGATTTACCTCCTTATCCTGACCACAGGAGGGTCCTCTTGATTCTGATCTGTTCTTTCTTTTTCAGGATATTTTTGCCCTAGGGGCACAGCTACACCCCTGCCTTGCCCAGCAGGGTCATATAATCCTTCAGAAAGGCAAGCCAGCTGCCTCCCCTGCACTAAAGGGTAAGAACAAGACAGAGAACTCATTATTGTCTGAAGTACGAACAAAGAGCTATTGCCTAATTCTCGTTTCCAGCCATCATTCAGCAGGGCAGTATGTCGCAGACATAATCACTTCATCTTCCACTGGAGAGCACCCATGTCTGAGATGCAGCCTAGCAACTTAAACAGCTGCTTAGCAGTCGAAAAGGACAGGAAATGAGATGAGCTCCCAAACCCAGCCGCAGTTCTGGAGGTGGAGGGAGCTAGAGTTTAAAACAGAATCACCTGTGCCATCACAATTAGGGCACCTCACACCTTTAGTATGAGGCAAATGCTGCTGACTTATGTAGATATGTGTCCCTATGCATGCCCTTATATAGATACGCGTCCCTATATGCATGAGCAGGCCTGAGTCATAGTCCATCCCATACAGTGCAGCAGGCTCACAAAGATGAGCCATCCCCTCTGCTGTGTTGTCAGTGTCCTTGTGAACCTGGCATTAGCCAGGGAGGTTTCGTATTCCTTCCCCTACTCTTTCTCTTATGGATGCAGGTTCTTTTGTCTGAAGAATTCTTCTTCCCTCGAGAGGAATGAATGTCCAGCTGGTCATTTTTGCCCCCTGGGTACTGCTTCTGCAACTCAGTTCCCATGCCCCCGAGGGACCTATAACCCACAGACTGGAAGCAGCCACATATCTCACTGCATCCCTTGTGATCCAGGTAGAAACAGCGCATTGGCATCATGGGAACACTGTGTGCAAATGACTTTCAAATATTCCTAAGCTTCAGCAGAAACTGGAGTGACTCAGGCAATTAATATCAGGCTACGAAGCCTTTCATCACCAGGCTGCTCATTTCATTTTGAGCTACACGCAGCAGCCTGGAGAATTAAGGGCAGTCAGATTCCTGGCCCCTACCCATAAAGATGAGATCAGCCCCTGTGTCTGCCTGTTCTGGAGTCCTGTCTCCAAAATGAACCAATGCCCAATATTTTTGGACGGAAAATTATTCCACTGCCTATGGTGCTCCTTCCCTTGAAATGCTGTGACATGAAAGAAGGTAGTTCTCCATGATCCTGCAGTCAGTTTATGCAACATTGCATGTGTGTATATGCAACACTGCATGCGTGTGTGTGTGTGTGTCTGTGCGTATGTGTGCACACTGCTTTACAGGCCTAGAAAAAAACCCAAAGAGCCTGTGTTAGAGAACCTGCAGGCTCAGAGATCAGCTGATTGCCAGATCAACTCTGCAGGTTGCCTTATGGCCTGAATCAGAGCTGTGCACTTTGTAAGCAGCCAAGGGCTGCACCAATGCAAGCCCCAGGCCTCCTGGGCATGCAAGCACTTTCCCCCTTGCTGCACCACACATGTGCCCTGGCATTTCAGACCCACCTTCAGCCCGCCAGCTCTAGGCTCTCCCCCACTGCACTGCACAGTGCTGCTGCCCTGGGCCATGGGCTCCCCCAGAGCCAGATGTTATGCCATGATACTCGGCCTCATTTTGCCCCCCTGAGGGGGAGGGGGGAGGGGGAGCCCAGAAGTCCTGGCTGCTATTGCAACTGGAGCAATAACAGGAGTGGCAGCTGGGTAGGAAGTTGGATAGCCCTGGCCTAAATCACGAGGACTGATCACCCTTTGGACGTCACCTCAATGTAGCATTCCTCTGGTTCATGCAAGTACCCAGCCCTGTCTTTGAAATGCCTCTTCCTGTTGCTTCTTTTGCTACTGATTTTGTTGCCTTGCTCTTCCAGGGCACTACTGTGCATTAGCAGGACAGTCACATGTGACGGGGCCCTGTTCAGCTGGATACTACTGCAGCGCAGGGGGCTCCACCTCAACCCCTGCTGATGGCCTGGTGGGGAATGTGTGTCCCAAAGGAAATTATTGCCCTATGGGGTCTGTCCTGCCACGACCATGTCCCCTCAGCTACTACAGCAACTCTACGGGCAACATGCAGATTGAAGACTGCCTCCTGTGTGATGCAGGTACAATACAGTAAGGGGAGACCAGTGAAAACCTAACCAGACTTGAGCACTAATGGAGACTGAGTGTCATTAGAGTCTGCAACACTGGAAGACAGCTCTTTCAGGGCTTCCATCAGTTAAATGGACAGCAGAAAGGCTAAACCTCCAGCTCCGCTCCTTCAGAGGAGACCTTCCCAGGGAAGCGCTCACTCCTTCAGCAGAGTGGGAGCCTGCCTCCCTCCCCGTCTCTCAGTGTGGTTGGGTTGGAGGGTGGCAGGGCAGCAATGAGCAGTGCCCCCTCTCCGCGTGCCATGCATGTCCTGTGTTCAAGCATTTCTGAGTAGTGGGAAGCTCTGTAACAAGACTGTGGGTGAAAGCCCAGGCCTCTCAGTTGCACGGATTTACTCCTCAGTTTTCATATGGATGCTCTTTCACTTCCAGGGTACTTCTGCAACAGGACCGGGCTCTTGTCCCCCGCGGGTCTCTGTGGAGCTGGATTCTACTGCAGTGGAGGAGCTGTTTCCCCTCAATCGCCCATGGTAAGTGGTGTCCATGAGGGGAAATACTTTGCAGCTTGGAACTGTGGATATCTGATTTTCTATCCCTGTTTGACAAGCCTGCCTGTGACCTCTAGGGCATCTCAGGGGAGCTTGCCTCAGCCCCTTAGTCTCTACTTGAAGCTGTCTCCCCTCGATCTGTCTTTGGTAGCAGCCCTTTATTCTGTTACCGCCACAGCTGGGCCCAGGTGCTTTCTCAAATGCAGTTGTATGAGGGCAAGAATTGTATCCTAGGTCACATTTTCTCTGCACTTCTTAGTGAGTTCCCTTCCCTATCTGATGCATCTAGTCTTTGAAGGTGAAGTGATGTAGAGACACCAAAACATAAATACCCTCCTCTCTGCTCTGCAAAACATGTCCCAAGCAGTTGAGCCTACGTGTGTTCATGCCGCCTCCCTCACATTTGTCCACTCAATGCTCGCTGGACAGATAAGTGGATGACCATTTCACTGGACCATCCACATTGTGTAGATGATGTAGAAGTGATTCACCTACCACAGGAAAGCACTTACGTCTGGGACAGAAGTCATCACCCTCTTAAGAATGAACAACGGCATAAGTCAAGAAGGATGCCACATCTGATAAGAATCACGGAGGCCAGTAAATTAGGATATGGCCCAGATTACTGGCTTTATTCACTCTTTTCTTACCCAAAATATCAGGGGAATCTTAAAGACTGCTTGTGCTGGCTCACAAAGGCAGGTAGTGCTGTTTCTCAAGTTATCAGCATCAGGTCTGCGACAAAGCCAATTTTTTCCTTACGGTGCCCTAGTACTGACTCTGCTTATCTTGGGAGACAGGATGAGCATGCAGCCCAAAGACCTGGCCGAAGTGAAGACGATGCTTTCGTATCCTGATCGTTTTGTCTGTCTTGCCATTAGGATCTGGTGTATTACTGCTGCAAGATGTGCTTATTGTAAGGCTATAGGTGAATGGGCAGACGGTGGCTGCAGTGGGAACATCTTCTGTAACGATAACACTTTGTCCTCGCAGACGACGAGCAGTGGGGGGCCATGCCCACCAGGACACTACTGCGTGGTGGGCAGCAGCAGAGCTCAGCCTTGCCCTGCAGGGAGCTACAGCCCTTTCTGGGGCATGGCACAGTGCTTCAAATGCCCAGAAGGCTTTTACTGTAAGGCTGGTTCCTCTAATTACACAGCCTGTCCCACAGGTGAGTCCAGAGGCAGTCCCATCCCACCCTGGGGAACGTGGGGAAACAGGGTCATCAGGACCCGGGCAGTGCTGTGTGAAGCAGGGTGCCTGGTGGACAGGGTCCTAGGCTGGGGCTCAAGACAATTAGTGCTCTGTTACCATCTCTGGCAGTGACAGACAGGGTGATCTTAGGCCTGTTGCTTTGTCTCTCTGTGCCTCAGTTTCCTCCCTTTAAAATAGGAGTGATGATGTTACAGCACTTTGAGATCTATGGGTGAAAAGTTCTGTCTAAGAGCCAGGTACCATCCTGCTACTCAGCACTAAGGTAAAGAGCAAGCAGTGTCTCTGAATGGATCCAACCTGGCTGGAGGTTCTGCCATACTGGAAATCACCCCACGGACTGGGCTGGAAATCCTGGAATCTGGCTTTTTGGGGAAAGCGGCAGATGGGACCTTTATGCCCCGGCTAAAAATGTGAAGGGGATCTCCGTAAGCCTCTCTCAACCTTTAGGATGGCTCTCTTTTCCCTTGTAGGACATTACTGTCCAAAGAATACAGAGTTTGGCACGCAGTTCCCTTGTCCACGCGGAACCTACAGTGACGCCTTCAGCATCTGGGAAGCCTCCAAGTGCCAGCTGTGCCCCCCTGGAAAGGTCTGCTCCAAGCCGGGCTTGACGAGTCCAGACGCACTGTGCACGCCTGGATGGTTTTGCCCACCTGGATCCACATCAACCAAGCCAGTATTCCCAGGAAGTTTCCCTGGTACTGAGGGGAGCCGGGGGTTGTGCTGATGATCATTAAAAGCAGTATTATTACCCTAGGTATCATAGGGACCTGGCTGCAATCAAGGCCTGCCATTGAGAGGTCACTTCCCCCATGGCAGGATGGGTGGGAAGAGGCTGGGCAGGTCCTTTGGGGTGGGTGCTGTCATCCTCAGGTGCTGCACACCATGTGCCCTGAGAGGCTGGGATGTGGCAGCTGGACTCTGATGGTTGCCTCTGCTTCTCCCTGAGTGTCTATCTCTTGTATTAGCAGGGGCAGGTGCTGCAGCTTCTGGATCTCTCGGGCTGTGCCAAGCTGGAACGTTTTGTCCGGGGGGGTCAGCCATCCCTATTCCCTGCGCTCCAGGTAGGGTCTTGGTTTTTCTCTTTTCCAGATCCCTTTGACTGTCCCAGTCCTGTGCTCTGACCGCTAGACCACCACCCTGTCCTGTTGACCATAGCTTCCATGGGCTCTGGGCTGTGACAGTACTGCATCTCCAGCGCTCTGTGGCGGTCGTGCTGCCGTGCAGCCAGAGGGACACGAGTGCTGAACGACGGTGTCCCTTCTGCTCCTTGCTGCAGGGTGGTACTGTGCCTCTCCAGAGCTGGCGGCTCCCTCTGGTCCCTGTGATGCTGGCTTCTACTGCACAGGGGGCTCCACATTGCCCAACCCCACGGATGGAGCAGTGGGCAACATTTGTCCTCGAGGCCACTTCTGTCCTCAGGGGAGTTCATCTCCCTCTCCATGTCCCCCAGGTAGGTCTGACAGCCGGTGCCTGGCATCTTTCTTTGCCCTGCTCAGTGCTGTGTGAGATGCCTGAGACTGTTGTTCTGCAGGGCTTGCCTGTGCGGTGCTGAAGCCTGCCCGGGCAGTGCCTGAGAAGCAACGTCTGTGAGCACAAAGCCGTCACTTCCAGGCTGACGCCGCTGTGGGAGGAGCAGTAACTGCAGTGCTGGCATTGTGGCCTGGTCCTGTGGCCTAGATACTGCCAGGCTGATCAGGGAGGTGGAGGGGAGGCACTGGGGGAAAAGGTCATGAAGCAGCAGTGAGTGGCACACGTTTCAAAGCCTCTGCTCCCTCCCGGGGAACAGAGACCTGGCCTTTTGTGCTTGAACTGAGAAGAGAGTTAGGGCTCCACTGAGAGAGGTTTTCTGGGTGGTTTATTTTACTGATTTGGGCCTGGGGGTGTTTTTAAGCCTGTGTTTCCCCTGCATAGGTAGGACCAGAATAGAGAAGCGCTCCTTCTCAGCAAGCATCCATCCCCCAACTTCTGCAGCATCTTGCTGTAGAAAAGGTTGGGACTGCCGTAGCCACAAGCTTTCCCCCAGCCACTGGCCCTCGCAGGCTCTTGCGGTGGGAGAGCAGGGGACTGCATGCTCTGTTCCTGTCTACCCCGTACGCTCTCGTCATCCCCTTCAGCACCTCCTGAGGGATGAGGCTGGGACTGGTGCAGCTCAGGGCTTTTTCTGTAGTTGGCCTGTGCTTTTCCCCACGGGATGCTGGGAGAATGCTACATTTTTTTTTCTTTTTTGTCTCCTGCAGGCTCTTTTTTGGCCCAACGTGGTGGCCAGTCCGCCCAAGATTGCCAGCTCTGTTTGGCAGGCTGGTTCTGCTCTCTCCAAGGCCAGAGCTCACCAGAGGGATTGTGTAAAGAAGGATGGTTTTGCCCACCGGGGTCTGTGTCAGGCCGGAGTCCAGGTAGGAAAGTTCTCAAATGGTTTGTTTTCTATGGGATGATCCAAAAGCAGCAGGAGGAGAGATGCTCTAAAGTTGCCATCCACATACAGTCTTCTGGCTTTGCAGCCAAGAGGTTCATATTATGTGTAAAGATGGAAAGAGCATGTAGATCAAATAGCTAAGAGCTTCCAGAATTTTTTTCCCCCTGAGTAACCCATAATATTTTTAACAGATACCAGCATTTTAGCTGCATGCAGGTAACACCTGCCAAAACACCCTGAGAAGAGGCTCTGGTACTTCCAGTCCTGTTGGAAGCGAGGACTATCAGCATCGTGCAAGACGATGTCTATTCCTTAGCAATTTTCCACCCAGTTTCAAGGACCTTGGAGCTTTGGCCGGTCTGGCTGAGGATTAGGGAAGTCTCTAAATTTGGGTGGGAAGTGCCTTTTCTTCCCATACACACAAAAAAAAGTCAGAATTGAAGAAAGGTTGAAAAGTTTCTTCAAAACATTTAGCCTTTGTTCCCCCCCCCGCCCCCCCCCC